TGTCAACCTGGGAAGAGAGCCCATCTAGAAGAGGAGATATTCCACTGCTTTGTGGAATATCTTTGGGAGGAGAAAAGGCTAAGAAGTAAACCCTACATTAATCCAGAGTGGAGTCGCTAAGACAGATGAATGGTGTCCTTGTTCTCCTCTTTTTGGCAACTCCTGCAGCCAGGCTTGTGCCAAATGCATTGCTCTGCTTTCCTTTGGACCTCATCAGTGAAGCTGAGAGGGGTGTGTTGTCATCTGGGTATCCCAGGACCTCCATGCACGCTGCCCAACAGTTTGATTTCACTCCCAGAAGTGCACTCCATGGTCTCTCAGGACAGACAGATGCCAACAACAACAGCAACAACAACAGCAACTGTACTGACTTCCCCACTGACCACTCCCTCTCCCCACTGTAAGCAATAGTGATCTACCTAATAGGAGGCTACAGTAGTGAGACTGTTCCTGTATTGTTGGGTTACGAGATTTTTAGAAAATAAATAAATAAAAAGATCTGAGTATATGAATCCCTTATGTGGTTTCTGGGTGCCTGTGTTGTTGTTGTTTAGTCGTTTAGTCATGTCCGACTCTTCATGACCCTATGGACCAGAGCATGCCAGGCATTCCTGTCTTCCACTGCCTCCCGCAGTTTAGTCAAACTCATGCTGGTAGCTACGAGAACACTATCCAACCATCTCGTCCTCTGTCGTCCCCTTCTCCTTGCGCCCTCCATCTTTCCCAACATCGGGGTCTTTTCCAGCGAGTCTTCTCTTCTCATGAGGTGCCAAAGTATTGGAGCCTCAGCTTCAGGATCTGTCCTTCCAGTGAGCACTCAGGGCTGATTTCCTTAAGAATGGATAGGTTTGATCTTCTTGCAGTCCATGGGACTCTCAAGAGTCTCTTCCAGCACCATAATTCAAAAGCATCAATTCTTCGGCGATCAGCCTTCTTTATGGTCCAGCTCTCACTTCCATACATCACTAGTGGGAAAACCATAGCTTTAACTATACAGACCTTTGTTGGCAAGGTGATGTCTCTGCTTTTTAAGATGCTGTAGTAGACCCTGAACCTGTTATCATAGGACAGGTAATATGTGTATATATAGTGGCACTTTGTAGTGATCATGAAAGGCTGATGACTGACTATATCAACTACCACAAAGCCCTGTTCCATGATAATCCCACTTTATGGCTGACTACAAATGTAACTATGCAGTCCAGATGAAACCGGGCCTGAGGTTTAAATGCATTTCTAATGATAATCTTGTATACCTATAGAAATTTGAAGAAAGCTCCATTGCAACATGTACAGTTGCTAAGCAATCATCAAGTATTTTTGGAACTAGCAAAACAGCTGGGTCTGTCACCTTTCACAATTGCACTGAGGGAAAATGACAGAAGACCGTCTTAAAGAATGCTGGATTCCATACCAGAAAATGATTTTTTTGAAATCCTATTGGGCGCACACACCACATTGGAGTAGACAGGAAAGTCTCTGCTCAGAGTGCAGCCCCACAGAGCTTTGGACAATTCGATTATCACCTTATCCCTGCTTTTAAAGGATGTTTGTAGGAATACTTACAAAAATTAGACGTTTCTGTCCCAAATTTCTTTGTGGCTTTCTGTTTTGCAAACATCTGGTAGGAGAGTCTCTTCTGTCTGCGTATTCCAGAATCTGGATTTCAAGCTGGAATTCTACTAGACCCAGAGTAAGGAATCTATGACCCTCCAGATGTGGCTGAACTGAAACTCCCACCACCCTAGCAAGCATGACCAATGGCCAGAGTTGGTGGTACTTGTAGTTCAGCGACATCTCAAGCGGCAAATGTTCTCTCCTCCTGTACTAGATGGTGCTGGCTGTTGCCCATTGTCATTGGTAGGGTGGAAGGCAGGAAGACAAAACTGTCAGGTGGAGCCAGAGCTTGTGATCAGCAGAACCAGCTCCTTCTGGTTTGGTCCCCATTCTCCTCACTGCTGAGTTCCATAAAAGCAACACTGGCAAGTAGGCTGATTGTAAGTAAGAAGGGAGGCAGGTAGGAACTGGTTGAGGACACATTGAGTTGATGGCCAGTGTCTATTTGCCTATTATTATTATTATTATTATTAAGTCTACCAGCTCCACCTGGTACGCAGGCTAAGACCCTGCCTGCCCGCATACTGTCTCGCCAGAGTGGTGCATGCTCTAGTTATCTCCCGCTTGGACTACTGCAATGCACTCTACGTGGGGCTACCTTTGAAGGTGACCCGGAAACTGCAATTAATCCAGAATGCGGCAGCTAGACTGGTGACTGGGAGTGGCCGCCGGAACCACATAACACCGGTCCTGAGAGATCTGCACTGGCTCCCAGTATGTTTCCAAGCACAATTCAAAGTGTCGGTGCTGACCTTTAAAGCCCTAAACGGCCTCGGTCCAGTATACCTGAAGGAGCGTCTCCACCCCCATCGTTCTACCCGGACACTGAGATCCAGCGCCAAGGGCCTTCTGGCGGTTCCCTCATTGTGAGAAGTGAGGTTACAGGGAACCAGACAGAGGGCCTTCTCGGTAGTGGTGCCCACCCTGTGGAACACCCTCCCTTCAGATGTGAAGTAAATAAGCAGTTATCCTATCTTTAAAAGACATCTGAAGGCAGCCCTGTTTAGGGAAGTTTTTAATATTTAATGCTGTACTGTTTTTAACATTTGATTGGGAGCCGCCCAGAGTGGCTGGGGAGACTCAGACAGATGGGCGGGGTATAGATAACAAATTATTATTATTATTATTATTATTATTATTATTATTATTATTATTAATGAGTCATCTTCCTCTGCTATAGAATGGAATCTACCAGCACTCCGAATCCCAGAACATCTGAATGGACCAGCTGTCTTCTGCACATCCCTAGTTATTTGTGCATAAGGTGCTCATGGTCAACAAGCAACTTGGCCTGCGCAGCCCTTGCCCTATGAAAAGTGAAAAATAGTTTTTATTTGCAGTACTTCGTTGGTAGCATGCGCTTGCCATAAATATTGCCAGTTCCCCTCTGATTTAATATGCTGTAAACCCATAGACAAAAACCCAAGCTCTCCCTGCCTGCTTACCAGGACTCCTATCAAAATACTCTCTCTCTCTCTCTCTCTATATATATATATATATGTATAGAAATAGAAACATGAGGTCTTATAAAATCTGTTTAAAGGTTTCCACACCAGCATTTTTAAGGAGAGCAGTTTATGGGAGAAATAGAGAACAAAACGTGTGTCTGCTTGAGGACAAAGAGTTGGTTAATATACCCTGTAATAAATTATATTTTTTTCAGCAAATATTGCTTTATAATACAGGCAAACATCCAAAGCACCCTGCAGTTATCAGAGGGGGGAAATAACCCTTTAATTCATATACTCTTTTTCTTTTTTAAAGAATCACCTAGGCACCTGAAACAATGTATCAGCAGTCTTGTCACATTCTGCCAAATAGTGTTGTCTGTGTCGGTCAACAAAAAGGCATTTGTGCCTTTTGGCTACAATTAGGATAGATGTTTGATTTGCGTTTCACTTTAATTACTAATAGATTAATCCAAGCTTACAACAGCATAGGTGATTAGCATTTTGTTGATTGATTTGTTACCAATGAATGACCCTGATTATGTTCTTAGTAACCAGCTTACTCCTAATTGGCTTTCTTTCATTAAAACCTTTAGAGCTTATATTGGGGAGAGTGACCAAGGTGTGTGACTGCTGCAAACTGCACAACAGTACCATTGTTTGTGAGACACTGTGGAGTTAGATCTCTCTTTTTTAAAAAATGGAAATTTGATTAATCAGTAGAATTAAGGAATTTGACCTCCAGACTAATTATCATGTTCCCTTGCTCGTGACTGGTACTCAGATAGAGTTTGTCACCATGGCTTGGAATACTAAGTTTTACAACATTGGAACAAAGCTTCTATTATGGTTCAAGAGGAGGGGAATTTACAGGAAAGATGCTAACAGAACATCAGAGAAAGTGTTAGACAGTGGAGAGATTGTAATACAGAGCATCCAAATGGTAATAATAATAATAATAATAATAATAATAATAATAATAATAATAGAAATCCTACAAAAATTGAGCACTTGAGATGGTCCCAGAATCTACTATTCTGTTTCATACAGTTATACAGAGGAACTTGTTTATAGATTTATTTTCATCAGGTTATTTATTGGACGTTTTGCCTTCTTATCACCCCAAGGAAGTATACACCATACAACCTGATCCTAGGTGTTTTTACTCAGAAGTAAGCTCCTGTATCTCCAACAGGTAGTAAGGCACCTTGAAAGTAATTTTGAGTGAATAAGTTGCAGGAAGGGATAACCAGCCATATCTCATTCCCAATTGGTTTATTTTAAAACTGTTGGTACAACAGGATTTGCCCACGTGGTTTCGTGGGTAAAGGCATCGGAGTGGGGAGCAAGAGGAATGTTGGTTCGAGAATCAGCTGATAATTTGTTGTGTTTGGTCTCCATTAGTCAGCTGCATGTTAAAGCTATGGTTTTCCTAGTAGTGATGTATGAAAGTGAGAGCTGGACTATAAAGAAGGCTGATCACTGAAGAATTGATGCTTTTGAATTATGGTGCTGGAGGAGACTCTTGAGAGTCCCATGGACTGCAAGAAGACCAAACCTATCCATTCTAAAGGAAATCAGCCCTGAATGCTCACTGGGAGGACAGATCCTGAAGCTGAGGCTCCAATACTTTGGCCACCTCATGAGAAGAGAAGTCTCCCTGGAAAAGACCCTGATGTTGGGAAAGATAGAGGGCACAAGGAGAAGGGGACGACAGAGGACAAGATGGTTGGACAGTGTTCTGGAAGCTACTAACATGAGTTTGACAAAACTGCAGGAGGCAGTGGAAGACAGAAGTGCCTGGCGTGCTCTGGTTCATGGGGTCACGAAGAGTCAGACATGACGAAACAATGATCAGCTGCATAACAACAGAGCCATTGTGGTGTAATGGTTAGAGTGCTGGACTAGGACCTGGGAGAACAGAGTTTGAATCCCCACTCAGCCATGAAGCTCACTGAATGACCTTTGGCCAGTCACCATATTTGAGCCTAACCTACCTCACAGGGTTGTTGTGAGGATGGAATGAGGAGAGGAGAAATATGGCAACCACTTTGAGACTCTTGGGAAATAAACATGGTATGACACAAATAAATAATACAAAGAGTTGTGGAATCACGCATAAGAATAGAGCTGCTTATCAGTGGCAGAACAACTGCCTTGCATGCAGAAGGTCCAAGATTCACTCTCCGGTATTTCCAGGTATAGCTGGGAAAGATTCCTGCCTTAAAATCTGGAGAGCTGTCATCAGTCAATGGAGACAACAGATGAACACACCGCCTGTCTCTGAGTAAGACAGCTTCGAATGGTCTTTTCCATTAAGTGTAATCTGGCCCTGTCCATTTCCTAGGAGCTGCTTTAGGGAACGTTCTGTCTGCAGTGAAGCAGTTCATGCTAGGAATTGAAATAGGAGTTTGATGCTGCATCCCTTCCTTGCTCTCAGTCAGGTCATGATCCATGCAGATGTTTCCATTCATTTCCACCTTCTCTTGAGTAGCCAGTGCCTGGAACGCCCTGGGAACTTGCTATTGCTCAGCAGAGAGTGGGGGTGTCACGCAACTCTTGTAACAATATGTATGTTTGTTGTAAACCACCTTGATTTTTTTAAATGAATAGTGGTATGCAAATATTTTTTCATAATTAAAAAAAACACCTGAGGAAAGTCCCTGTTGATCAGGCCAAAGACCCATCTACTCTAGCATCCTGTTCTGACAGTGGCCAAACAGATGTCCATGAGAAGCCCACACACTTAAGGTGAAGTTCTGAGAAAACAGGATCTAGAAGAACTTGGGTTAAGTGAAGCTTTTAAGAATGCTACTGTATTTGTTTTCCTTTATCTGTGAGCACTTTTTTTGTGTGGTCTGTAATATGTTCAGAGTCTCTAGAATTGCAGCTTTCGGGTTGTTTTGCATTTGGTACTATGAAATCTGAGCGTTTGGGCAGAACTGAATGTAAAAATGTGCCTATCTGAAGCGAAAGTGCCTGACGGCAAGCCAAACAGAAGTGAGTAAAGTGTGTGTGTGTGTGTGTGTGTGTGTGTGTGTGCACGCGCCATCTTCCTTATTGTTTTTATTTATTTATTTTCTTGCCAGTCTCCAGCTGCTGCTCCTTTAGGGTTCACTTCACTTCGCTTCCATGGGATGCTTCCTCCGAGGAAATCAGAAAGAGACGTTGTAAACAAGAATTTACTGGATGCTCACAAGCATCGAGCATCAAAAGAGCAAGGTCTGGGTGTACTTTAGTCTCCTCGCTGGTGCAGGTTTGGTTTGACTGTGCAAGTGAGCAGATAGTGAGAAATCTTTATGTCATATGATAGAAAATGAACGAGACAGGCAGGATGAAAACCAGAGGACTAAGCCGCTTCTGTGAGATGTATTGAAAGACAATAAAAAAAACAACCAGTATGGCATTTGGGAAAATTGAATGTTAAATGTCTTTTCCTTTTGTCAGATTCTTGTGCTATAATTGCATTATTAAAATCATGGCACACCTTTTCTCTCTCTCCATCTTTTACTGGAGAGAACACATTAGTGGAATCAGGAAGGGAGATAATGCTCTCAAGCACACAAAGATGGGTGTAGAGTATTTGGTCCTTAGCAGCATTTCTCCATTTATGTGCTGCATGTGTTATTCCAGAACTCAGTTATCTATCTATCCACCTTTCTCCTTAAGTGTTTAATCCTCCCAGAGACATTCAACAGTGAAGGGGGGAAATGTAACAGAAGGAAACACTCTCCTGCTTCATAGGGCTCTGTTTCCCCTTTGCCCATAATTTACTCAACCCCTTCATGTGTCAGGAATGAGCCAGCTCCAAGCAAAAGTGTGCAGCCATCTGCAGAAAGCAGCCAGGAACAGAGAAGCTCAGATGTTAGTCAGGTAGGGGAGAGCTGGCAGCTGCGGACTTCGGCTCTTCCTGACCTTGACGGGCAGGCTGATAAGGCAGTAGCTGAGAGCAGGCTACAACACAGCCAAAGCTCGCGGGAAGCACAAATAGGTGTGAATAGACTCAGAGACAGCTCTCAGAACAGAAAGAGCTTGGAGCTGATCCACTAAGTCCTTAGAATCAGCAAATGGGAGTGCTGCTACATAGGAAGCAAAACAAGAGACGTAAGGCTCGTAAGTTCAATATCTTCTGTCCATAACACTAAGCATCTGTTCATAGCAACCCTGAGATCTCTGATGAAACAAGGGCCACTTACCGTGCCCAATGACCAGTAGGGACAATTTGTGGTCCTGGACATCCATGGCTGAGATCTTGGAACATCCTAAGGAAAAGTGGAACATTCCAGGATCAAATCATAAACCGAGAAGGTAAATCTGGGCCTGTCCCTGGAAAATAGGGACACTTGGAGTCTGGAGTTGACTGAGAGGCACGTGTTGTTCTTGGCATGGCAGCAGAAGTCTGACAGGCCCCTGGCAGCCCCCACCTTGTCAGCTTGGCCCTCCAAGGCCCCAGGGCGACAATATGTGGCTGCCCCACTGCACAGGCCTGTTACTGCTGCTACAATTATTACCACCATCACATCTCACACTATACCTAACAGTCAGAGATGTGGGTTTTTTTGCATGTTGTTTCTCTACCGACTTTCTGGGGGAATCCACTCTTTCTGGTTATACTCTTAGAATATAAGCCTAAATGTCTTGATTCAGATTTGATTCCCACTATATTGAATGTGTAGTTGCTTTGTTTTCCCTGCTGCCATTTAAACATTGATTGTAGTTTTAATCCATTACACTGCCTTGGAGGCCTTTGGGGGAGAAAGAGGGACCCATATTTTAAGATAAATAAATAAATAAGTGTGTCCAGAGGTCTTAGAAATCAAGATTGCTGCTGACGGGTCCCTGGAGGTAATTTTGAATGCTCACTAACTGAGGCCATTTCTACCAACCTCATAAAAATATTTCTGCAGAAAATCATAAGCTTTCAAAAGCATGTCTGAGGTTTAAAAATATGGGACAAAATCATGGATGGCGATTAGAGAAATTCAATAGCAAAGGAAGAAATGCTAAATACTTAGAATTTACAGCACTGAAAACCCTCTTAGAATTGCTGGAATTATATTCTGGTTGTATGCAGACAGAATAGCTAAGATACTAAACACACTGTATTCGCACACCTGCTGCACAGTCCGCCTTTTGTCAAACCTAAATATATGATCCCATCTTCAGAGGCGGACAATACAAATGGAAATTGGTCTTTGAAGTATTTATATTTTTGCTGCATAGTCAAAGTCCTTCATAGTAAAATCATGTCATTGATAACATTTCTCAAAGAGGACATGCACGCACACACACACATGCACACACACCCACACCCACACACACACACACACACCATCATTACAATATAGAGCTGGGTTTTGTGTTGTTGCTTTTTATGTAGAAATACCACTACTATTGCTTCTTATTTTCCGAGCTTGGCTTTTGTTTTACAACCCACCACAGTGAACTGTTTAGGATAGATGGGATACAATCAGAGACAGATGAGGAACGTGATATTTCAGATTTCTGATGCAGACTGAGCTGATTCGCACCTTCTGGACTAATGTTGAACTATGTACTTCATTAGATGCCCACAAATTCTAGTGATATGAGAGAGGGCGAAAGATTCTTCTCTGTCCACTTTTTCAATGCCTTGCATAATTTTTATAAACACCTATCATGTCATCTCTTACTTGCCTGCTCTCTAAAAAGTCCCAAACACTGCAACCTTTCTTCATAAAGAAGTTGCTCCATCCTATTGAGATTATCGTTGACCTTTTCTGAAACTTTTTCTGGTGAAGTAGCCAAAACTGTACATTTCTGGATATGCATGTGGAGGATTCTGGTCTAACAGCCCTTAATTTTGATTTGTTCCACAGGTGAATGAAATATGTAATGCTCATTAAAGGACCTTCTCGGATGTGAAGAAAAAGAAGAGTTTATGGCTAGGCAACCACCCTCTGTTTTGACCCCTTTTCTGGTGGCAACTTGCCAGTGTCTATATTAAATGCTTGGATGCCGACATGTGTGGCACAGCTTGTTGGGTTTTCCATGTTGCAGGATGGATGAGAACAGCATGCAAAGAATTATGAAATAGCTAAACCAATCAAGTCACCTTTGGACTCATTAGGATTAGGGCCTGGGAGATCAAGGTTCAAATTCCCACGATGTCATGGGTGATCTTGGGCAAGTCCCTGTTTCTCCACATAACCTACTTCACAGGTTTGTTGGGAGGATAAAATGTTGGGAGGAGAACTATATACACAGCTTTGAAGAAAGGTGGGATGTGAAGATAGCAAAATACCCCTGAAGATGGTTCGGAAACTTCAGCTGGTGTAGAATTCAGCAGCCAGGTTGCTCACCTGGGTGGGACAGTTTGATTCTAGTCTGACTGTACTGGCTACCAATTAGTTTCTGGGCCCAATTCAAAGTGCTCTCAAGCTTTAAATGGCTTAGGACCACAATACCTCAAGGACCACCTCTCTCATTATGAATCTACCCAGACCTTGAGATCATCCTCTGAGGCCATTCCTTGGGTGCCTTCTCCACGAGAGGTCCAGAGGGTGGCAACATGAGAACAGGGCCTTTTCTGCAGTGGCTCCCTATTTGTGGAATGCTCTTCCCAAGGAGGTTTGCCTGCCACCTTCATTATACACCTTTAGGCACCAGGCGAAGATGTTCCTCTTTAACCAGGTCTTGGGTTGATTGATATCTGATGTCCTTTTAAAATGTGGAAGGGGGATTATTGGGTTGTTTTTGTTTCTATTTTTATTATGTATTTTGTGCTTTTTATATTGTAATTTGATTTTGTGAACAGCCCTGAGATCTATGGGTATAGGGTGGTATGCAAAATAAATGAATGAATGAATACAGGTGGCTCCCCAGGAACAGCGCCCATCAAGACCTGGCTACAACTGACAATGCTTGAAACTTTTAATGACCATGACTTACAAAAAAACTATCTAATGTTGTTACACTGTGCACAAGCACAGCAGCAGCAACAACAACAGCTCTGGGTACCAAGTAATGTAGAGTCAGACTGCGTGAGCAGTACAATTTATATTTTCGATCAAATTTCCTTCTCTCGCAATTTGTCTTCAATATGAGTTAATATCATTGCAGCACTTTCCATAACAAAAAAAAGTTGTGATCTACAAATCGAATCATAATAAAAAATGACGTATGAGACAAATATTGAATATTGTAAGGAAGAAAATTGTCATTGAGAAATTAAGAGAACAGGAAGGAAGGAATTTTAAGGATGATTGGGAAAAGTTTGTGGAATATTTGAAAAATTATTGTAAACTCCTTCAAACATTAGCAGGGTTACAATAGAATTAGCAGTAAAAATATAAATAATGGAAGACTTGGATGTGTTAAAATATGGAGCAATTAAAGTATGCAGAAGTAAAGGAGAACTGCAATGAATCATGGAAGATGGGGAATAGAAGCCAATGATTAATGTATGGATTAGTTGATGTGTGTTGATTTGTAAAATTGAAAATGGTAAATATATTGTGTGTTTGCTTGTTTGAATTGTCCCAGCTACATGGTGAGACACTCCACACACAAACAGTTTGCACACAAATTTGCCATAACCAGGCCAAGGAATGCTAGGCAGCTCTGGTTGTGCTCTGTGTTTGAATGTGAGACCTCCTGGGAACACCAGGTAGGCTGTATCTTTCCTGGAAAAAAGTTTGGGTATAACTTCCATAGATAAGGAGCAGCCTCCATAGGATAGTTGTCAAGTGTCAATTAATCCAGGAACTTGAATGACCAAAGACTAGAAGGTCCAGTTAATCTTCGTCCAGCCACCAATTCCAATAATGCTCACTGGATACTTTATGTCACCATTCATCTGTGGGAGGCAGCTGCCTAGGATGTTTGGTGAAAACGTACCTGGTGGGCTTAGGGGTTCTGTTTAGCCAAGAGGTAAAGGTAAAGGACCCCTGGGCAGTTAAGTCCAGTCAAAGGTGACTATGGGGTGCGTTGCTCATCTCGCTTCAAGCCGAGGAAGCCGGTGCTTGTCCACAGACAGCTTTCTGGGTCATGTGGCCAGCATGACTGAACCACTTCTGGAGCAACGGGACACCGTGACAAGCGCCACAGCACAAGGAAATGCCATTTATCTTCCCGCCACAGCAGTGCCTATTTATCTACTTGCACTGGTGTGCTTTCAATCTGCTAGGTTGGCAGAAGCTAGGTCAGAGCAACGGGAGCTCACCCTGTCTCCCAGATTCGAAATGCCGACCTTCCAATTGGCAAGTCCAAGTGGCTCAGTGGTTTATAATAAGAATAATAATTTTATTTATACGCCGCCCTCCCCAGCCAAGGCCGGGCTCAGGGCTGTTTAGACCACAGTGCCACTGGACCATTGGTTAGCTCAGTCAGTAGGGCATGAGACTCTTAATCACTTAATCTCCGGGTTGTGGGTTCAAGCCCTGTGTTGGACAAAACATTCCTGACCTTCGTAGCCCCTTCCAGTTCTGCAATTCTGTGGTTCTACACATGCTAGAAAATTGTTATTACAGCCTATGGCTGCGTCTGATCTCATGCTTCCAGGGTCCTCTGCAACTCAACATGTGACAGACATTTTCTTTGCTATTTTGCCAGCGATTCCCGGCCAAAAAGCATATAAATTACAGGAACCTGAAAACAGTGATTGTTGGAGATAAAATATTTTCCACTTATTTAAAAAGACTTTTAAAAACAGCATTTTTTCCCCCTTTAGCACTTCACATACCTGAGGGCATGTCCGGAATTATACCACGACTGAGAAAAATGTCATATTTTAATTGTTGTCATTAACTATAGAATACACCACACGCTGTATACATACACTACAAAGTGCTGGTTTTACATTACAATATGCTGCACATTTTCTGTGCTGTGTGAAAACAGGAGCCTTTATTGTTAATTCTGAGGGGGTTAGATAGAGTATGTCATTATTCACAGCTCTTCTATTAATCAGGGGGGAACAGTGGCCTCCTTTATTTTTGCAAAAATTCTAGGAAATGTGCTTGGCTGGAGGTAAGTGGGGGAAAGAATTGTTCTGAAATCTTTTACATATTGTATTACACTTTCTGTTGCCAGGGCAACCACTTTCTCTAGACTTGCTCAAAACAGCTCCGCCAATAGGAGAGTGTCTGACAGAGAGTTTAAATCACAGTAGAAAAGAAAACCTGAAGGGTAAAGGAGGGGGAAGAGAGAGAGAAATGAAGGCAGCAACATTATTAACATTCACAAACCCTGTAAATAATATTAATTTATTTATTTTTATTTATACACATGTATCTGCGGAGGTATTTATATATATAAAGAGAGACAGAAGAGAGAGAAAATGAAGAGAGGGCTATTTGAACCATTTGAATTCAGACTTTCATCTTCAGCCGATTTTTCCCCCCTTCCTGCTGGATGGCTGTCTTTGAAGTGAGAACACCATTCAGCGTTGTAAAAAAAGAAAATAGTATAAATATTAAAGCAAGATACAGCTAAATTGGCTGAAGTAGGGGAGATTGTTCCCTGAGGCTTCCTTGAATCCTGGCATAAACATAAAATGTGGGGAAGCAGAGGCGGGGGGGGGGGCGTTGAACCTGGATTAACTTTAAAAGTATTTTCTATGGGGGAATAGCTTTTGTCTCTTGTTTTACTCAGAACTATTAGCCTTCATGCATCAATAATGAGCTCGCAGAAAAAGACGAATACTCTGCATTTCTTTCCACTAGATGCTGCCTTCAGGTTTGTCTTGTGCTCAAAAGTGTGACGACGTGTCGACCACGGTGGCCGGGACTGTCCACTGGGGCTGGGGAGGCAAAGGGCAGGTCAACTAACAGCAACAGGGGCGCTATCTCCTGGGGGCCGAGTCCTTTTGCCCCCCCCATATTTTTGGGAGGGGGCCGGAAGGACCCAAAGTCCAAAGGTGGCAGGAAGCAGCCTCAGAAAGTGGAGGAGCTGAGAGAGTTGAAGCCATGCTACCACTGTCCTCAGCTCCAACACTGGCTCTTCAGAGCTGAGCTGGCAGAATTAACAGGGGCTGCAGGAATCGAGAGAAGCGTTGGCTGACTTCACAATTTTCCCCACATTGTGATTTTTGCACCACACACACACACACACACATACACACACCATGATTCATGATCTCTTGGCAGGTAACAAATTATGAAACTGACATCACGATGTGGACTTCAAACCAGTTTTGGACAATATATTGACATATCGCCCAGCCCTTATTGGATATACAGTGGTACCTCGGGTTACAGATGCTTCAGGTTACAGACGCTTCAGGTTCATAGCTGTCAACCTTTCCCTTTTTTTAAGGGAAATTCCCTTATTCTGAATAGGATTCCTCGCAAGAAAAAGGGAAAAGTTGACAGCTGTGTTCAGGTTACAGCCTCCGCTAACCCAGAAATAGTACCTCGGGTTAAGAACTTTGCTTCAGGATGGGAACAGAAATCGCACGCCAGTGGTGTGGTGGCAGCGGAAGGCCCCCTTAGCTAAAGTGGTACCTCAGGTTAAGAACAGTTTCAAGTTAAGAATGGACCACTGGAACGAATTAAGTTCTTAACCCAAGGTACCACTGTAGGGATAATCAGGTGCTGGCAAAAATCACGATGTGGGAAAAACCATGAAGCCAGCCCATAGCTCCATCCTTATTTCAGACACTGTGATATATTGGCATCTTGTGATGTTTTGCTGGTGCTATGTCATGATGTTGAAAAATCAGATATCGCCCAGCCCTATATTCAATATGAATGCATGTTGATTGTTCTCTGGCTTCCAGCAGGCTTGGCTCTGGTGAAGAGACAATTCATCTTGCACTTTATTTCATCTTCCCATGGCTTCCTTACTTGACCATAATCACATTCCTCATGGCACAAAAGCCAATTCTGGAAATCCAGCAGAATTTAGTGGAAGTTTAGTGCTCACTTCCATGTTAAGAGACCCAGAATATCACAGGAGTTTTGCACTGTAATTTTCCTGCCATTATCCTGGATCACACCATGGGATGAAATTTGGGGAGGTATTCTGGTATATGGTTCTTTCCCAGTGTTTTCATGGATGAATCGGGGGGGGGGGGAGCTGAATGCATGCACATAAAGGATGGTGACACCTCTAGTGACACCATGGTCACTGAAATTTAGCATGGCATTGGCAAAAAAAAGCCAATGTTCAATAATGCATTAGTTAAGACACTGTGAAAGGAATATTAGAAACTGGCGCAGAATCACCTGCATTATAGCAAGAAAGACTGTGGCAATAACCCCGCCCCCCCATCTGAATGGAGCCAGTATTTATGGTTCTATATCTCTTCTCAGTTCACAACTATGGAGACAGTAAGAAATTTGGAAGGAAAGAGGGCTGAGATGGGGAATTGCCCTAACGGGAAGCGTCTTTTGGAGGAGATTTAAATACGCCAAAGTAAGAAAAAAAGAATGGGTAACAGCCTGGAAAATGGTTTTTATTTAGGGGCCAGCGGTTGTAAATAAATTGGGACATCAACAGACATGGATTAAATGCTTGCAAAAAGCAACAATAAGGATAATTTTGAAAGGGGAAATAGTCTGAAAGCATAGATGTGTGATGTGTAAAGTGGTCTGGATGTTTAAAATATCAGTGCAGTATATCACAAGTTTAGTTGTTTAGTAGTTGAAAAATTGGGTGAAGAGGTTTGGAATGCAAGATGATTTGGTTTACATAAAAAACTAAAAGAGCAGGTGGAGGGAAGTCCAGGGACTTGTGTGTCTGTGTGTGTGTAAAAGGTATTCTTTTTGGTTACTTTTTAATGCTAATGAGAAATGTGTGGCGTAATCTGGTATTGATATAATGAGCATATACTGGATTTTTCTAATTGAAAACTAATAAAAAAATTTAACAAAAAAGAGAAAACAATATTCTCAGTGAGAATGCTGTAACACAACCACACAGCCTTTCTAAGGCATCCATCATATATAGGCATGGCCTCCAAGAGCATAGCAATTAAGGAAGTGGCTGCTCTAATTTCTATCTCCTTCTCTACAGCCCTGCTGTGAATGGGAGAAAGAGATTAGTCTCAATGGAGCAGTGGAAAGTCAAGAGCCATTCCTTGTTTCTTTCAGGCACTGGGCACTGAGAATTGTGTTGTTAGCTTTTTTTTGGGGGGGGTGTTGCAGAAGTGTATGAAACAGTAAGCCCTTTTAGTAAACTTCAACAGACGGCTTATCAAGCTGATTTCCAGGGTAGAGGTTGAATAATGTGTCCTTAATGAACTCAGGCACTCTTAATAGTCTCCAAGTGCCTCGCATAATTGAGACCAAGTTGAAAATGTTATGTGGATGCCTAATGGGGGATTACGTGTGTGTGTGTGTTTTTAAACATTATTGGATTATAGACAACTCTTCATGCCCTGAATAAAATATTTGAAAACTGGTGCAGTAATCAGGCATTTGCTTCCTAGGAGTGATCATATTCACCACTAATTTGACTGCGCACCCGCACCCTTCGAAAAGTCTTTTCCGAACACCTGTTCATTTTCTGGGAGGTGATGATGTTGATTCAGACACATTAGAAAACATAAAGAAAATTATCGATAATTTGCCACCTGCTTTCGGAGAATCAATATTGTATTCTGAAAACTGGGGAGGGGGAGAAGGAGAGAGAGAGAAAAGATCACGCTTTAGGGTCCTTAATGAACTGTGGAATGGTGTCACACTGTGAGCATTTTGAATGAGCTGGTAAAACTATTAACAACTAGCATAATCAACCCTGAAATGAATGCTTTATACTTGCACTTGGGGGAAACAACGTGTGAGAATTGTTTCCCCATCTGTTAGAAATTTAATACTCTTTTTTGTAGCAGTTATAGCTTTATATATTTAAGTTTAGGGGGAAAGTCTAATGTTGTTTATCCACAAATTATATACAAATAGGAAGGGAGATGCATGTTAAGTACAGCTGTTCTGTGTGCCTAATGTTGTTTCTAGACCTTTTGTTTATCCCAGCAACACAAGATATAATTGGTGTGCAAATTGAAGATGGGGTGAGAACCCCAGGATTCCCGCCTCCAGATTCATATCAATTTTGCAAACAATTGCAGAACTTCATCTGGCATTTCTGAACTGCTGGTGTTCTCCGCTGAGTAGGTCAAAGGGAATTCTCTTCCCAAGACCACACATGGCAAGCTAACCAAGACCGGAATAAAACATATGAATAATAAAAGCAGAGGACTAAAACTTTAACATAAAGCAGGGGTAGCCAACAGGGACGCGGGTGGCGCTGTGGGTTAAACCACAGAGCCTAGGACTTGCCGATCAGAAGGTCAGCGGTTCGAATCCCCACGACGGGATGAGCTCCTGTTGCTCGGTCCCTGCTCCTGCCAACCTAGCAGTTCGAAAGAACGTCAAAATGCAAGTAGATAAATAGGTACCGCTCCGGTGGGAAGGTAAACGGCGTTTCGTGCACTGCTCTGGTTTGCCAG